AGAGAGGGAGAGATTAGAGCACGACGCTTAATACCTTGCGGACTAGGTTCATCTAAACCAGAAAGCATGGATGTAATGCAGGGAAATTGGGTGTTAGTGAAGTGGATGGGGTTATTGCACAAGCGCGGGGATACTAGACTCTGTGACCGAAGTCACAAGAGCCGCGGTTGGAGAGAGGGATGATGAAGGGATCAGAGTTCCACTGATCAATAGGTATTGGGGTGGTGTGTGGCATAAGGCCTGGAGTAATGGCTGTATGGTGGATTGGCTGATGCATTTATGTGGTATCTGAAGTTATTGTTATCGATGATAATCATTTCTAATCGCATGCAATTTGCTCAGTATCTAAACTCTAATCCACAGCACAGAATTAGTATATGTAACTTTAAATATTGTAGACAATTTTGAGATTCATCAAATCTTTTAATTGTAATGAAGAAGATTTCTGTACATAATAAGTAAAGCTAGTTTTCCACAACTAAAAACTTTTTTTAAAATATTATATTATACTTTTCATGACTGGATCTTTCTTACTCAATTAATAAAGTATTTAAGGGCAACAATTTTTTTCAATGTGTTATGCCACAGGTCTTATTCTAAAATTAGAAAGAAATTTTTAGTAAATAAAAATCGAATTGAATTTGTAAGGAAAGCACGTCACATTGTAAAGATTTTTTCTGTCACGTGTCAAACTGAACTCCGACAATTTTCTTATTAAACTCAAGAGAAAAATAAAATAAAAGGTACATTGAACTCTTACCTTCCGTGCAAATAAAAACAGAAGTTTCAGATATTTATACAGATATTTGTAAATTCCAAACATTTGTTTATAAATATATATTTAAAAAAATTACATTACTACCTTAAAAATTAATTTAAAATTATTTTTTTACAGCGAGTATATATAGTGTTACTATTAAGGGCTGTAGAAATATTTATCAGGTTCCATTTCAAATGTCTAAATAAAGATTTACACTAGCACAGTTGTTGCAAGTTACTCATGAAGTACAGTGACCTTTCCTTACTGGTGAGTGAAATAGCCACAGGCAATATACGAGTAAAATTTGGGGTAAGTACAAAATGAACGTGTGACTTGCCATTTTGTATGAAATGCACACTAAATTCTGTTGTGGTTTTACTTAAATTACCAGTATTGCAGTTAATTCTATTATATGTGGTTATATTTCCACATTTATTTACGAAAGAGAAATGCTTTTATATTTTGGTTCGTAATTTATGGTAATCAATACACGTTTGTCTGAACCTTTTTGACCTCAGTAACCACACATATCTTTTCCCTTTCTGTTCTAAAGAAATTATTATTAACCCTGTAAAAGACTAATAATTATTGAAAAGTAATACAGTACTATGTAGACGTTTCAAGATTAGGTTCTATACATAAGAAATAATATATAAATCTTGCAACAAATAATGCCTCTACAAACAGAATAGTATCGAAATTTAACAACTAAAAATAAAAATATAATTATTTAATTAATTTAATTATTCTACAACTGGTTCTAATATAAACACAGCAAGGAAATTTGTTAATAAAAATCTTTCGAAGCAAAAGTAACAAAACTCCAGAAAAATGTGCGAACATAAAAAGTCAATTACGACTTTGGGTCAGTTGGTTAAGGTGCGCTGACTCTGAGCTTCTAATTTGGCAGGACACGATTTCGATTCCTACTAAAACAATTATTTACAAATAATTAAACACAAGAACTATTTCCAAGACCAGTGATGATGGGTATTTGACAATACTCGAAACAGCTGTATGGTCAGCCAAAAATTCAATTAAATAAAATAATATAAAAATAATTTTTGTTGTTGTAGTTCACAACTGTTCGAAAAATCTCTTTATAAATTTATTTTATTTATATTTTTAACAAATTATCAACAAATTACTGAAATTACCTTTATACCTTTCTGAATTTGAAACCATATTCGAGTAAATCTTGTACTTCTTGTGATCTATATTCTTAAAGAACTCAATACACTATTTACATCAATGTCATTTCTTTACTCGCTATATCTGAGTAAAGAAATGACATTGATGTAAATGTATTGAGGTCTTTAAGAATATATTTTTAAAGAACTCATTTTATTTTTTATTATTCTTTTTTGCTAAAAAGTAATCCTTAATAATAAAAAATTATATAAAAATAAACTAATATTTAAAATCACAAAATCGTAATTATTTGTTGTATTTATTGTACTTATTAGTAGTAGTTCAAAAAAAAAGTGGGAAAGTCCTCGTATTTTAAATTAAGTTCCCATATAGCTACTCAGTATTAGTAAGTGTGGTGGAGGACACTTCTGTATCTATTAATGACAGCTCTTCCAGAGAACAGTTCAATTCAGTTGGAGTTACAGATTCGTCTGTGATTTGGTCATTTACCTGGCAACAATGAATATTATCATCGTCAGCGGAAACAAAGTCATGCCAATAAAATGAGCCTGAACGTTGTAGTAACTTTAGATAATTTATAAACATTTTATAAGTTACTTCTTTAGCATTACGGCAGTTAATTTTATGGTGGTATTCACAATTGCTATCATAAATCCAACTTCGAGTTGGAAACTTGCGTGCATTCATCACCTTAGCATATATAAGATTCGACTTTTTAACAACAGCAGCTTCTAAGTTTTGTTGAATTTTGTTTTGAATTTCATCGCGATATGTAACTCTATTGACTTCTCCACTTTTAAAGTAATGCTTTAAATGCAGTAAATTTGGGCACGACATATTATTAAATCGCACTAAGCGCATTACCTGTGTTACATATGGCTCTCGTTCATCCCAGTCATAGCTCAACCAACGTATGAGTGAATAGAAAATCTCAATTTCTCTGTTAACCGCGAAACTATTACCTTTCATAAGACATTTCAAATCACTAAGATTTAAAGATACGAATTCCTTAGAGGACACAAGAGGTAAGAAAAACTTCTTAATTCTTGATAGCATTACTCTCCTTACATGTGGAAGACTGAATTTGCGAGCTTTCAAGTACATAAAGAATGCATTTTCTTCATTGTACATATCGTCATTACTCAGTAAGCTCCAACATTGCAGTTTTAAATCTTTAATACCAAAAGCTATTGCTGCAGTCAGCATGGAAAGCAAGCTGTCATGAAAAATCTTTGGTTTATCCTCAAGCATCCAATTATATAAGGTACGGAATTCCATAGGAGACATAAAGTCATTCGATATGTCTAAAGAGACTAAATCTGGGTTCTTGCGAAAGTATTTGCAGTATGTCCATAACACTATTTTATTGCACTTAAAATTAAAGTTATCGATATTAATAGTCATGTCGCTACTCTCAGGTTTTTTGAACCAATCACATACTGATTTATATAAATCCGTTTTAGGTGGAAATTTATTGCTTTCCCAGGTAATCCTATTTATATCATAACCCATATCTTTTAATGATTTGTTTCGATTTAATTTTAATTTTAAAGGGTCAACTGGACTTTTATTTGGACCTTTAGAGCTAAATAGATCAGAAAAGGCTGTTGCTGATGAAGATCTGAATAGATTTGTAATTAGAAAGAATTTGTCAGATTATATAATGAATTAAAAGGAATTACCTTTCTGTAACGTCTTCTGACTCAGGAACATTTTTATCTATAGTTGACATTTTAAAATCTTATTATATCATAAAATAAAGTTACTAGCACTAATATACAATAATATGGAGTATAAGAATTTTTGGTAACAAAAAATTTGAATAAAAATAAAATCTGAATTTGTTATTAAAGAATATGTCATTCAAGTATGAAATTATCGTTTACTGTGTGATAATAATTCAAACATTCGAATAAGTTAATAGATTTCAGGTCTGTTACTCTTTGGCATACTCATATAAAGAAATAATACATACATTCCGTATTGAATTTTTAATTGAGACAGAGAAAAACTACCAGTCGATCAAAATTTGGTTTATTATTTTTAAAGTAGGTCCCATCCAGTTATATATAACTATGTTAGCATTGAACCCATATTTTTATTTATTTTTCGGTGGGTGATTGAAATATAGCTGCATATTTGAACGCTATAGTGCTTGATCCAAATAAATGTGAATAATCTATAGAAGACAATAATAAATTTTTATAAAACTTCGTTATCATCCATGCAAAAAGACCATCAATGGTTTGCTGGCTTAATAATGTTGCTTTAGATGTGATTAGTTTGATCCTTGTTATCATCTATAGAACGATGGAATTCGATTCAGGTACATGAAATGGCATTATCAAGAAAACTAATTTTTTTTGTGATTTTATAATTTAATGAAATATTATTAACTTCACCTAGTAAAAATAATATTTAAAGTGTAATGGTACTTTAAATTATAGATAAATCCTCGTATTAGAAAAAATCTAATAAGAAGTGAGCTAATTTATTGATATTGTTCTTGTTTATTTAAAATAATAAAAAAAAACTAACTTGCAATTCACTCAAAAACCAGTTCAAGCCTTAGTCTGCCTTATAAATGAGTTCAAACTATATGAGGTAGATTTAGGCGTTAAAATAATATTTTTGGCAGATATGAACAATGTATGAACTTGATTGGTATAAAAAAAAATTTATTAATTTAAATAGCTTACGCGGTGTTATATTTAATTCAAACAGTCATAATACAGATTGAAAAAATGAGTAAAATTTATATATTTAGATTTTTTGTATTGCATATAATTCTTTCGGAAGATCTGTGGTCCCTTCGAACGCTTCGGCAACGAGTATCGAATTAGATGGAACGATGAGCTATATAACCTATATCGCGAGAAATTGAAAATCTTACGCATAATTAGGTTTTTTCCTTTGGGTTACTACTCAAAAGAAATTATATCTATATATTATATTTGCGACTTTCGTAAAAAAAAATAATGAAATGCAGCAAATTGTAATAAAAGTGACTTTTATTTCAGAAATATATATTGAATACAATTAAAAATATTTTTTATTATTTATTATTATAACTTATATATATATATTAGTCAGTCTAGTCACTTTCACTAATGGTACTATCGGAAACTGATAGTTTTTTTTGCTTATTGAACATTTTATTGAATTTCTTCGCTATGCGGTCATATTCCTTGCTTAAGATCTTAAGTTGCGATCTTAAAGATTCCTTGTCTTTCTCCACACGTTTTAAAGCTGATGTGAGCTCTTCCACATATTCCTGTAGGTCGTTGCTCTAAAATTAGTATGAAATTAATTTCGAACAAAAATTGTTGAGTTTTAATTAAAATAATCTCTTAATAATTCTATGAGCTATTTAAATATTTCTATTAAAATTATATCAAATGAATGATCTTTATCGATCAAGTGTCAAATAGTTTAGTTTAAATTGTAAATTGGAGTCTGTGTAGTAAGTAAACAAAACTTGAGTTATAAACAGTTTGTGCCTTAATTAAATACCTCACCTCACCAAGAGTACTGGTTTGAATTGATTCGTTGGATTTTTCAGTCTTCCTTTTTTCTATTAATAAAGCTTCACACTGTGCTAATAAATTCGCTTGTGTGGAAAATGAAGTCACTAAACAACGTATTATAAGTACAAGGAAAATTGAAAATCCAGAAATATAAAAATTTCTTTGAGCTCTAAATAGTTGCGTGCTATGCATTTCTGGCCCATCCTCATGATTCGTGTACTTATATATTTCTCTTATAGCGTCTAATAAGAATACTAACATCATCCCCATCAAGACCAAAAAAAATATTTGCGATTGTTTCGATAATATTGCTAGAAATCTAGAATTAAAGATGCGGTTCCACCTGCTTGGACTGGCGATTGGTAGAACTAAAAGCAAGACAACTACTATTTCAATATACAGAAATGTAGCGATTAAAGTCCAAGCAATACTCATATTATATAATTTTTTGGAATTTTTCAATAATCCAAATAAGAATTTTGTCCTCCAAATAAAAGTTTATTAAAATAGATAAAGTTTTTTTTTTAAACAATTTTTCCTAAATAGTTTTATACTTTTATAAAAATCTATGTATTTATTGAATAACACGACTTAGCTTACTATGACCTGCAAGTACAGAGTAAGCAGTATGAAAAACTGTCAAATATAAATTTTTTATTAGAAATTTATCATATTATCATGGTTATGGCAGATGTAAAACGGTGGAAAAAAAGAAAATAAAATTTCCAAGACTATATCGCAACATTGATGAGCAGCATCGATTGCCCAGTAATCCTGACTGACAGCGTGATTATTTTTGGCAGTGCAGTTTAAATATTTTACTATAAGCAAATCTGTAATGCATTTATGTCTCTTACATTATTACATTGACAAATGGTTCAATTG